CATTATCAATGATATGCATGTACAAAGATATTTGAGCACTGGGGCCACACAGCCACATATTATAAAACCAATTTTGCTCAACAGTGCAGTTGTGTGGTGGGCATGCATGCGGAAATCTACCTACCGGAAGCCAATGGAAAGGGTTCAGGGGGCTTAGCTTGATAACGTGACCGACATTGGTAAACCCATGCATTGTCTTTACGACGATCTGGACAAGAGCATGCCAAGGAAAGTTAAAGTTCGATGAAAAGGTGTATCAGGATACAAAACTGCACAGATCAAATGCAAATCAGTAGATCAAAAATACACACAGTTCCTGCTCACTCTTGATAGCAGAGAACAAGCCACCAGGAGAATAATGGATAATTTCTTGTGACTAGTCCGACACTAGAAAACCAACGCTTCAAACACCTAGGGGCCCCACGGTATGAAAGAACGGAACAGGTGTCGATTGGAGGCCGCAAAACCTATTAGAAGTTACGCCAAGCGCTGGCATTCTGAAGGATCACTACTTCTCAAGAACTACGTAACGGCACTCCATCCGGCCTCTCCATTCCTCCATGAAAATAATACAGTTCCAACACATCAATTAGGTTTTGTTGGTTATCCAATTGGCGAATAAATGTAAATGAACCAAAATTAAACATGTTGCGTTTTCACTGAGAAGAAAAATGTGTCAGCCTATTAAAATTAATATCATCTTAGTTAATGAAGTAACTTATCTTGCCATTCACTTGGACAGAAGGCTCACATGGAGAAAACACATATCCAGCAAAATAACTAGCATGAAAATAAGAGCAGGAAATTTAACCTGGCTTTTAAATAATATTTTTAAAATTAGCCGGTATTCAAGTTTGGGGGTTGACCTGTGCAACTAACATTAATATAATACAGAGGTTCTAGTTAAAAATCCTAAGGGCTATGACGGGTTCACGATGGTACAATCGTAATGAAAATACTCACAAAGTTATTGGTATTCCTATGGTAAAGAAAGAAGTAGAGGACAGCAGAAAGAGCTATGAGCTTAAACTCCGTAATCATCCAAATCTATTAGACAATGCCTTGCCAGAGTCATGTAATCAAACCCTCTTGAGAGGAAAGGTTGTACTAGCCATCTTAAGAGCAACGTATCACCAAACAGGCTCTCAACTAGAACTTTGAGCTTGTCTAGTTTTAAATAGATTCAAGATTTTATTTCTTATTAGTCTGATAAAAATCAGCCCAAGCTTTAAAAAAACAGATTTAATATTTATAAATATATATATAATATATATAAAGATATTTTAACAAAAAAATATACAATTATATGTACAAAGATTTGCATTTTAAAAATACTAACGTGTTAAATAAAAATCAATTTACAATATGGAATCACTTTAATATCGTAATGAGTTAGTTTAAAAGTGTTACAAAACAAAATTATAATTGGATTAAAACTAGTAGTTATTGCTTAATTAGCATTTTTAAGTTTCCTCATATAACGTAAGACCACCAAAAAATCAAATACGATACAAATTGCTAAATAAGTAATTTTTATATTTAAATGTAAACATTAACTACTAAGCTAATATTGTAAATGTAAACTGTTAGCAAAATAGAAAGAAATATCAGTAAAAAGTAGCAAAAACCATGAGAGATCGCTACCATGGCTTTCCTGGGTCTACCTTGTTTTCCTTATATCTTGTCAGTACTTATAACAGCATAACAAAAGAATAACATTTTTAAATTCATTCGTTAAAAAAATGAGAATTTGAATACACACACTGAAGATATATTTCTGTTCTATAATTATTTATTGTTGCAAATTTACATTAATATTTCCCTGAGGTATAATAGTTTTGTCACATTTTTTAACAACTAAATCTAATCGAAATAGATATAAAGTTGTTAGTTTTATCAACCAAATTTGCTGAAAGCAAATCCCACAAGCACCTCCTCAGATATTGTGAAAATGGGTAAACTCAATTACAACCACGCAAAATTCCAATATATCACAATTTTTTAATATATGATTTTTGTCTTAAATACTTAAATCAGGCACCTATAAAGTTATCAGAATTAAACTTGGCTCAAATAGCGGCCTCCAAATACCACATGCGTGCCCCACAATTTTCATCGAAAACATCGGTCAACCTGTGATATATATGTAAATATATAATGATAACAATGTGCTCTTGTGTCAAGAATATGTCAAATCGGGACAACACTTCTGCCAGCTCCCATATACGTAATTTAAAATTTTTCAAACTGTTTCCGGTTGACTGTATGTCGAATATATCGGTCCATATGTGAACTATCTATAATGAAACACAGGGAGAATTTTTATGTCGTAATAGTTTGTCGTGGTGTCAAAAATAATTACCGGGTCAATACTATGCTTAACCTAACCTCTTTACACGGTAATACTCTAATTAGAACTGTGTGTGCTGCACAATCCGACAGCCCTTATTCCATTCTTGTTCAGAACACAACTCCATTGGAACACCGAATCTCGTTACCCAGTGGTTGATGAATGCATCCGCCACTGGTTCAGCCTCTTGATTAGAATTTGTGTATACTTTTGGCCATTCGTTGAAATAGTCCTTAACTACCAAAACCTTACTATTTTCTACTTTATTGGTGGAAAACGGACCATCTGCATCCACGCCTATTTGCTCAACTGGCGCACCCAAATTATACTGTTTCATCTGGCCATGACTTCTGAACATTGACCATTTAGCTACAATGCACTAAGCATATTTGGCAACCCTTTCCATAGCTGATTAACGGCAACCAGTCCAATTAAACCTTCGCTTTAATTTCTCCAAGGCTTTTTCAAACTTGCTGCAAGCAGCCACACACCAACTTTAAACTGCTCCGCTCTGCCCAAAATGCTTTTGCGACTCGCCTTCCTGCAGTTATTTCTCTACTCGTTGTACATTTGTTCCACTCCACATAATATAGCACACATTGCAATTCTGTATCTTTTCGCAAAAAGTCATCCGTTTCAGCTATAATTTTATCCTGCTCTTAAACCTTTGAGGTTACCTGTACTGGTATACACGCTTCGTGCTCTCCTGACTGTGAGGACCCTTGTACAGGTATAGACGCATCCTGCTTTTCCAACTGTAAGGGCGCTTGTGCTGGTATATAAACTTCTTGACATACGCACGTCTAACTCTTTGAACTGTCAGGATCATTGTACTCTTTAATTCCAATTGAAAGACATATTCCTCAACATTAATGTTTTCCGCCTGTATGGCCTCTCTCAACCGTGATTGTAATTCAGTTTTTAATCCATTTGTCGGCAAACCCCGTTGTTCCAGGTAATTTTCTATTGTGGAATCTTCAGATTGTTAAACTTGGCCATTTTCAGATAATTATCTCCTTGGGAATTACTTTGACAATCCCAATTTTGACACCAATTGTAACGGATTTCTCGATAAATCTCCTTGTAACTCACTCTTGAATTCAATCACTGGATTGTTAAATAAAAATCACAATTTAATGGCTACACTTATCTTTATTTCTAATCCAAACAACTTAACATGGCAACATCCTAATTAGAACTGTGTGTACTGCACAATCTGGCAGCCCTTATGTAGTAGACGTTTAACAAAACTTCGCCTCTAGAACATTCTGGCAACTACGACTTGCTTCTGGCAATTTATCGCCGATTAGATTTTGTTTTACTATTTGTGTTCGTCACATGAATTCCTATCCTATGGTTGATTTTTTCCTCATAAACTTCGGTTAGACCCGAACTTCTTTATTATATATATTGACATTTTCATTACATTATTTCAAAATGTATACCACATTTACATTTTACTTACACAGTACGTTAAAAAAAAAATTTTTGTTTTCCAAAGTGAAGGCAGCATTTAATGAGAAAAATTTTGTAATTATAGAAAACACATTGTTTTGTTATAACTGACTTTTATTAAATATTTGATTTAATTCCCGCGTTGTCTATTATAGTCTGTCATGAATAATATATAATATAATATATTGTTGACGTTAAAGAGTAAACATTCTCCATTGGATTGGCGTCTGGTGGATGTGATGTAAGTCTGCGCCGGTGGTTCAGACCATTGCCTTTTTGCAACTAAACTTCAATAAACCCTTTTTATGCAATTTTATTATTCGAACGACTTTGAGCTTTTCTGTGAAGCACCTCAAACTCTAAATTCATCAGCAGAGTAGAATCCATGAACATGCACCTTTTGGGGTGCTTAACACTCCTTTAAATAAATATTTGTCTTTTTTTTATTCGTCTAAAGGTGTTGAACAATACAAAAGATGATTCATCTGTAAATACCATATTGCTCCAATAACGGTTGATGTTTTCCTAATCCCAATGCAACCTGTTTTTAAAGAGTTTGATGCCAGACCTCTGAAGTCTGTCCTGTATTGTATTTAGAGATATATTTCTCTTTTTGAACAAATTTTTTTTTATCTTCTCTTTAACTTAGCAGTGGTTCCTTCTCAAAAAGGAGAACGATAGCTTTGTCCTCATTTTTAGATGTCTCGTGATTCCTCCCTCTTCTTAACTTGTCATCTACATTTCTCTATAATAATAAGACCATCTCTTTGTACTACTCGAATTTAAAAACTTTGCAAATTTTGCTGGACCTTTAGGATGTTTCGTTAGAAAACCTGCTTCAAAACATTTCTTGTACTGAATTTTACACGGCAGAGATCGCAATTGAACATATGTATACAAGTGCAATAACACTTGTGAACAATATAAAGATATACTACTTCTTCATTAAAACTTATAGCAAAAGCAAAAATTTTAAATCTGGCTGGATAGTGTTTTTTAAATAACATATCGTTTTAAAAAATTTAATATGTCAAAGTAACATATATTATGTTTGAGTTCAAATGCTTCTAAATAAAATGCTTCGATTTAAGATTTAAACAAAATGAATGGAACATGAGTACATACTATGTATAATGTTTTATTTTAATAAGCTGCTTGCAGCTCCAAATTCTTTTTCGTTACGGCTTTTAATTACTTTTTGTTGTTTCGATGTAGGCAATTCTCCTAAACAACACCTTTTAAATTTAGCAACGCATCCACTTTCTGGATCCCTTTGATGAAGTTCGCCCGTAACATTTCCTTGAATCATTTCAGGCATCACATCGTCCAGTATTTTTAATTCTCTTCTCGAGAACACTAAGTCCAAAGCTTTTCGTATACCAATCATAACAACCAACATCAAAGGAAACAAAATAGATGTGTCAGAAAATGATTTGATTAGCCATAACATGATAAGGCAAGCCAGTTGTATGCCTGTAAAAAGGTGAACCCTTTTAATTGGAACCTGTAAGATAAAAAAATATATATCTATTTGTATGTAATAATTTTACTATATACAATATTTAAATTAAAGCACAAAATACAAAAATTTTATTTGACGAGGTATCAATGGAGGCAACAATGTTTTCTTCGCTGAAACTGTTCAGATCAGAGATCACTATATCATCTAGCTGCCATACAAATTGAACGATTGGAATCAAGTTCTTGTATGGAGTCTTTGTATTAGTGAAGGGTAGTATAGCTTCAGTGCAACCGAAGCTAAAGTTTTTTTTGTTTTAGTTTACAAAATGCATCGCTTATATACTATTTTTGGAATCTATCCAAATGTGTGTATGTATGTATATATAGATTGTTTTGTCATGCATGTGCATAGATATTACCCCTACAAGAAACTGCTGATGGGTTCACCAATACGCTCACATTTATTATGTCAGTACTGACAGTCAAATTAACAGTAAAATGACTGTCAATGTTTACGATTTTTCCGAAAGTAAAGTCTATATACGTCCAAAGAAGACAGCATACATAGCTGCTATTTCGTGCGAGAAACCAATAGTGTCGCGTGTTTCCGTACAATAACAATTTTTGTTTTATTAAAAACAAATAAATAACGAAGGAGTTTTCAAATATGATATATGTAAGTTACTACAAGATAATAAATAAAACTTATTTTTTTAGTTAATTTTCATTTTTATTTAGGCATTTTTACTAATTTTATTAAAAGTTTTGAATTTATTAAAGAAATAAAAATTATATTGTCTACTGCGCAAAAGAGTTTTTCACTTGTGATAGATTTACAGTCATAACTGAAAAATTGTAGCTATGATAGCGTTTCAGTCATAACTGACAATTTTCAGCTATGACGGATTTATGGTCAGCAATGACTCAGAAAAAGACAAGAGAGTGAGCAGTATGGATATATAGTGAATCAATTCCGAATAAGTTTAAGAGAGATGAAAACTCACACACATACGTTTGTTTACATCAATTTTTGCACAAGGGTCTTAAGAAAATCATAGAAACTTTGTTCTGAGCGCTGACAAAATTTTTTCAGCTGTGATTGTCATATGACCGGTCAGATCACTGTCACTGTTCTTGTAGGGATCTTTGTTTATATATGCAAGTGTATTGCATGCATATGTTTCTTTTGTAATTGTTTATGTTATATCCTTTGTATTGCCACGGCATTGTCGGGATAAAAATGTTCAAGGATATTTGAACAAATTGCCGAGGATAAAGTAATTATTTCAAATGAGTGGAATGTATGATACTTAGGATTAACACTAAAACTAATAAATATTACCTATGTTGCGGCGCCTCCACTAAATGATACCTCTTGGCACCAACACACAAGTTTATATTTCAACAATAAGATTCCAAATAGTTATGATTGCAATGCACTGAAAGTTGCGTCGAATAATGAAAATTTTCCCTAATCCCCATATAACTAATATTAGGATTTTCAAATATCGGGTTGAAATGTGTTCAATACTACTCCTTTCTCACAAATAACTAGTATGATATTTTTAAACTTCGGGTTAGCCTAATTCCATATATATCAGTAAGTCTGTAAGATACCTTAGCAAAATTAAGATCCAATATTATAGGCTAAATATTGGATCTACTACAGTTTAATGCCAAATATATGTGTGGGAGAATTCCTACATATGTGAAATAAGTCTACGAATTATTCCGACTCTCACATATTACATATAATGATTTCCGTTATTCTAACAATTATGCGGTATATGCTGAGTATACCTGAGCAATGTCAAAAGTTATTGTAGTCACCCCAGACTTCTTCCTGCCCCCAATATTCCCTATATAGTGATTTCTGATTTTCCGCCTAACTTTAAGCCTTTCAACTATTTAGGTTGGTCAAAATGTTTGAAATTGTAATAAAATTAAGTGCACACATTTTCTAAAAAATAATGTGGTTTAGTCCGAATCTCATATTCCCAATATAAGTAAATCCGATCCTACAGTTGACATTTCTTACTTATTATACTCTCGCAACTTGTTGCTACAGAGTATGTGCCTATCTCCTATACCACTGAAGCTATAATAACAAAATTCACTGGGAACAAATGTTTATAGCATCTCTATCGACGGGGTGAAAATGGGTGAAATCGGGTGACAACCCCGCCCATTCCCATATAACGGTACTGTTAAAAACTACTAAAAGCGCGATAATTCAAGAACTAAACAAGCCAGAGACATTTTATCTCTGGGATGGTATAAGATGATTTTATAGAAACCACGTTCAAAATTAGATAGTGGGCGTGGCACCGCCCACTTTTAGGTTAAAACCCATATCTTGAGATCTGCTAAACCGATTTCAACCAAATTCGGTACATTAATAACATTCTTCTCATATTTCTATGTTATAGTACGAAAATGGGTGAAATCGGATTCAACCTGTTTCCCATATAACATCATTTTAAATTTCATCTGACTTTTTTACTTTCCAGTATGCAAATCAAGCAAAAATGATTATATGGGCGTAAAACTTTACGTGAATAATACGTTTAAAGTATGCCATCTTGTGATCAAAAATTATCTAAACTGACCCAAAACTGTTCAATCCCCTAGGTACTGAATATGTGGAACCCAGTGCCTATAGTTGACTTTTTACCGAAAATATCGGTCAACATAGAACAAGGCGGCAAGATCCACAAAGAAATCTGAAACGAGTATACCATTTAACTTTGCGAGAGTATAAAATGTTGGGTTACATCCGAACTTCGCCCTTCCTTACTTGTTTTGAGTTATTTTTTTTCTATTTCTAACTTCTCATATGTCGATTGTCTGTGTTTATATATAAGTGTATGCAGAAAAAAGTAAAATACAAGAAAAACGGGAACTTTGGTTGCACGGAAGCTATAGACCACTGGTGCATTTTTTTATAGCATATAAGTATATAAATAGATTTTTCTCTTGATTTTGATTGATCAGTTTGTATGACAGTTACAAGTTACAGTGGTCCGATCTGAACAATATGCCCAGTGATTATAGCGTTTGACTTTTAACTATAATCTACACCAAATTTCTTGAAAAAATACATGCTATAGTACTTAGATTTGAACAATATAGCGGTGTCCTGAGCAGTAATCTACAATATGGCAAATTTTGTGATGTTACTCGTTTCATGTTAAATGAAAAAAGTTGTCTATATAAGAATTTGGTTTTGATCGAATAAACAACTGTGACGGAGAGTTCAGCGCGTTTGGAATACACGAATGTAATGTAAACTTAGAGCCTTAATAGGCCAAGGATCACAAAAATCCTTTATAGCGTCTAGGGCACAAAATAGGCGAAAACTGTCATCAAAACAATCGAAATTTAAAATTACGGGAATAGGCGGAAGAGTAGTCCAAAACTCACACAAAATCATCCCCATTACCCTAATATCCCCCCAGGCGGATAAGCGAATAGTAGCAGAACCTATAGTTTTACCGCAACTTACAAGCATGCTTCCAAACTATCACATAAATAGTAAGCATTGGCTAGCAGATCCCAACTGCAATATCCCCGCTCAAATAGATATAATAGTAGGCAGCGATCTTAAACCGCAAATCATTCTTGAAGGTGTTGAAAAAATTTCAACCACCCTTCTATCCCAAAACACTATATTTGGCTGGATTCTAAGTGGACTAGTTACAGAACCAATTTCCACATCAACAACTCAAGTTGACGAAAACTCTAAAGAATACATGAATTCACAATTGAGAAAATTTTTGGAGTTAAAAAAACGGCCCCTCATATCAATTACAACCCCAGAAAATCAGTATTGTGAAGACTTCCACAAAGCCACAACTACTCCATCAAATAATGGCCGGTACGTCGTACGACTTCCACCAAAGCCACAATTTTCCAACACTCTACAAATTGGCACAAAAAACCAAGCCAGAGCTTTTTCTGACAACCCTAGTGTAAATAAGTAAGGAAGGGCTAAGTTCGGATGTAACCGAACATTTTATACTCTCGCAAAGTTAAATGGTATATTCGTTTGAGACTTCTTTATATATTTTAATAATTAGAAGTAGGGACTGTTGCCTTAGTTATTTACTTTTCACTCACAGTGAAAACAATTAGAGCAATTAGTAAACTAAATTTACTCAAATTATGAGAAATCGTTCTTGTGCTTTTTGTATACGCTTATAATTGATTTTATAAAGAATGCATTACAACTGTATTGAGAAGTATGAAAAGAAATCGTTTTTGAACAATGAATAACATTTTTTATTTATTATATCGATATTATTATACATGTTGGTAGCTTAAAATAATAATATTTAACAACTTTAAAATGATATAATATTATTATATTATTTGTATATAATATTTACAATATTAAACATAAATTTTGTAGAGATGTCTTTATACATATATCCAAATAATATTTTTTCCTTATACTATTTAATTTCTATCATATATTATACAATAATGTCATATATAATAACAAATTATATATATAATTTAAATTTTCTTAATTAGATTATTTACATATTTTTCTTAAAATTGTCTTAAAACTACTGTCAAAATTCTATCCCATTCCAATTCGATTATATTTGAAAAATTAAGAACATATGCACTAAGTTGAAAACTTTAGTTCGAAATAGAGACACAATACTGTCATGATAGCTGTGTACTGTCTCAAAGTAATTGATTTACACGAAAGGATTCATGTTTGAAAATGCCCAATCAATTTGTGTACCGGCAGGTGTAGTTGAATATTCTGCACCAAGAGGAACAAAGTTTTTCTTTCAGCTTTCTTATTGCAGTCCCTGTAGACATTAAACAAATGTTAAATCTCCAACAATTAGACATTTTGATTGCCTAACTCAGAAGTAAGGACTCCTGAAGTTCTACAATTAATTGTCTGACAGAGTTAGCAGAATTTCTGTACAGAACCAGCATATTAATAATGAAACATTTAAACAAAACCGTTTTTATAACTTTATGGCCTGAATAAATTTTCTTTACAGCCTTTGATTCTATAGAGCAAGCAA